GATGTCGATTTTATCCCATTCACTGATCTACTGGATCCTTCTTTTGATATCCGGCCACTAACTTATTGATTTACAGCCGTATTTAAACTGATCTGCTTGAATGTTTCTTATCCAGTCAATTACGCTTTAAGTGTATAAAACTATCCGACGTGATAAAATGTAAGTGATGAAAGGTCACAATAAGTTGAACAGGTACAGACAAATACATAAAATTACCAAGATAACGTTATCTGCAGAACCAAAAGAATCATTTTAAATACTTTGGTGACCGAGAAATATCGATCATTCTAAGCTATATAGGGAAATTATGGAATAAAATACTTCAGTATTATGATGAACACGAACAAAGAACTGTGCTCGTTTGACAAAATGGTTCACCGACAGAAACGTTTTATTGTTGTGATATATCGAGCTACTCACTCATACCGCATCTACAAATTATAATAAGTAGAATTAGCCTGACACTTTCGGCCAACGCGAAAGAAAAGAAATCACTGCGACTGACGAGTCAGTTGACATTAGAGAGGATCCAACTCCAAATATCGCCTTCGAGATCTAGCAAATGGGGATCAAATGGCGTTCTTTCCTACCTCAAAGTTATACCAAGTTTTGCTTTTCACACCACACTTTCTGCATCCAATCAGCAAAGCTTTCTGTTGGAAAACAGGACGCCTATCAAATGGAAGAAATTAAACTTCCTTCTTGCGTCTCAGAGACGGAAATAACTCGTCACTGGGAAGGGTCTCGGGAAAGTCCCTTGCTATCACGTGATAAACAGATCACATTGCTCCCCTTCTGTAAATCAATGTAGAATAACATCTGTCGGCCATGGAAAGAGACGTTAAGGGAAATTGAGCATATACTAGGGGGTAAAAAATGTACCTATTACCTTTTTGCATTCTGATGAAGTAAAGTATTTATCAAGAAGCTCTCTGCTTTGCAATTCATAGCTGTTCGACCAGCCTTGCCTTTTAAAGCACTATAAATCAAAATTTTATAGTTCCCTGCTTTGAGTCAAGGGGGGATAAAATTGAAGTTTGATCTAATGTCGCCATCATTGAACCACAAAGGAACAGAAGTATTTAAAAAGGCAATGACTGTTCATTTATACGGCGCTGATACACCGGATGTTCACATGCCATCAGTAATAACAAAATTTTTCATTTATCTCAATCATATACAATCGTGGTGACCGTTTTTCGATATCTTTCCAAATGGCCGCGTGGTTAAAGCTCAAAGACAGGAGATAAATTCAGGTTGAGCTACCAAGCTTTGCTTCTTGGTCATATAGAAAACATTCTTCCTGCCTTAATTGCATGAGCTTGCGCGGCCTCACGGTGTATTACATGAGGTCCATTTCTCAGAATCTATATTCAATTTCACACTATTACACAGTAAGAAATCGCAAGGATGTACAGCAAATTGACCTAAACGAACTGAAAAATTATCGTGACAAGTTAAATTAGCCAGCTTAAGGAAATTCAATGAAAGCAACCTTAGATAAAACTAAGACAAATTTAAAGCAGTCGCTAGACGAAGAAGTCGTTACTGGAAGTCACTCAAAGAAAGCCGCTAGGAAATAAAATGTCATTTGACGTCAAGGGACTTTCCCAGGCTGAGAGTATATTTGCTCTGCTCGTTCTGCAGAGACTGCGAGAGCAAACATCAGCGAATGTTAAAAGAATCTTGGCATAAGGGGTGAGTTACATCTTTTGGTTTAGTTATGCTACTACTTATCTAATGGAATCATTTTATAATAGGCATGTATTAAAACTCGAAACAACAGAAACAACCGAAACGAATCCACCGAAACGGACTGAGGGGCAACGGCAGAACTGACCATACCGCCGAAATAAAAATCATCGGAAATGCAAAAGCTGCTGAAAAAAATGGCAAAGTAGGAGACCTACCCACTGCAAACAAGAAAATAAACGAAACGGAACCTCCGAATCAATCGAAACGAGCAGGATATAATGGATGAGATAATAAATTGAACCCCGCCACATGTACCAACTACTGACAAATGTTCTTATAATTTGCAAGTAGTTTGCAGATTAGATAACAAAACAAGTCTAAACACGTAAATAACGAGATCGAACAACAAATAACACTCAAGGCAAGGTTACCGGAAGGTTCTGGGGTGGGATCCAACTNAGAAAGCCGCTAGGAAATAAAATGTCATTTGACGTCAAGGGACTTTCCCAGGCTGAGAGTATATTTGCTCTGCTCGTTCTGCAGAGACTGCGAGAGCAAACATCAGCGAATGTTAAAAGAATCTTGGCATAAGGGGTGAGTTACATCTTTTGGTTTAGTTATGCTACTACTTATCTAATGGAATCATTTTATAATAGGCATGTATTAAAACTCGAAACAACAGAAACAACCGAAACGAATCCACCGAAACGGACTGAGGGGCAACGGCAGAACTGACCATACCGCCGAAATAAAAATCATCGGAAATGCAAAAGCTGCTGAAAAAAATGGCAAAGTAGGAGACCTACCCACTGCAAACAAGAAAATAAACGAAACGGAACCTCCGAATCAATCGAAACGAGCAGGATATAATGGATGAGATAATAAATTGAACCCCCCCACATGTACCAACTACTGACAAATGTTCTTATAATTTGCAAGTAGTTTGCAGATTAGATAACAAAACAAGTCTAAACACGTAAATAACGAGATCGAACAACAAATAACACTCAAGGCAAGGTTACCGGAAGGTTCTGGGGTGGGATCCAACTCTTTCTGGGAACTCAGTTGGCGCAAAAATATTCCTATCTCAGGGTCTCGACTCTTGCTTTCATCGAAAAAGAAATAAAGGAATAATAGGGATGGAAACACTAAGTTTAATTAATTCAGATTTGATATCGTAGAAAGGTCTAAAAACTGTTTAAAACAAAGGTCATCGACAATATTCAGAATAACAATGATGCTGTCAGTAGACTTAAATAAACCGATTAAGCTCGCGAAATGCATGGCTTATTCTTGATTAGCAATGCTCGTAGAAATCACAATTTCTGCTCCAAACTGAATTTTGCCTAGAAACTATACAAAATTGTAAATTAACTTAATTTGTACAAAATTACGCACCTCATTGACTTGTTAGAAATCTCGGCTCTTTAGGCAACATACTCTCAGCAAAAAAGCAAGAAACGTACACAGAAACAAAACAAGAGGAAGACCAAGGAAGCGTTGACAGAACAAAATGAAAGCTAACTGTAAACTGCTAATTAGAACCCACGTAATGATATTGATGCAGATACTGAAAATGATGATGATGATGGCGTAGGCTGTTTACAGACAATCTTACTATTATCTCTTAAAAGTCCGTCGAGCGCGCGTAATAAAAATAAACATAGCGGGGAATCCTGTTTGTTTACCCATGAGTCAGTCTCGATACGGTGTGACTAAGAATTCTATATCCATGTCTTTCTAGTCTATAATCATCTCTGCAGTCAAAAAACTCGTAAGCGGCTACTTCGGGAATCAGGGGAATCCATAAAAGTGATCCCAACTAGAGCTGTACGACTAAGAAAATCAGGGCTCTCGTAAGCGATCGTGTGATGCAACTATTGAGGTTGATCATACGAGAGATTTTAGCAGAAAGCATTCAAGTGTTGTTACCTTTCACCTATAATATTTGAAGATAACGAGCCATGCGTTAACGCTTTTGTCTGTACTATTCTTGATTAAGCAAGGAAGTTATATATGCTTTTAATAGGACAATTGCACGACAACGTCATTTTACTACAACTACCAGAATCCTTGAGTTTGCTGTTTTCTTGTGCAAATTAGGGGTATTGCTCTTTAATCCTCAGGCGGCATTGACAAATTTAAATAACTAAGCACAACCAAAATGAATTCTGGTAGTTGTAGTCAAATATCGTCATCGTGCAATAGTCCTATTGTTGACTGAGCGGTCTCTTACGAGAACTTTAAAACAAAGGAAAAGAGTGTCTATTGATTCATTACAAAAGAGGTCGCTGTTCCTGGCAAGTGCTTTTCATTACAGGGCATATATAGAAGTAACAGTTTGAACGGGGTTTTTCCTGAAAAATTGGCCGTTTCTAGAGCTGATCACATGCAGCAAGAAAGTGAACACAAGGACAGATATTTTGAATACTGCTCGTTATTGACAGCTAAGTCCTCTTTTCTTCTTTTTTGTAAATGTCTGTTTTCCGTTTATTTGAAATCGAAAGTGTTGTGTTATTAAAGATGGTTCTAGAATTTTATAGGTCACAGCTTTCGGAACTCAAGTCAGGGAGTGAAATTTACAATTACAATATCCAGTGATTCAGTTTAACCCATTGACGCCCGAGACTTTTTCGGGTTCGAGTGATTTTCCACATAAAAACAATTCATAGGATTTCGTGACTCCGTATCTGGGGTTGGAAAGTGGTGCTGTTCTAAGACTCTGAAGGCTCGAGTTGTCTGAAAACGTTATTCTGGCGTAGTCATTTATAGTAACGGCTCGAGTTTGTTTTGTATGTGATTTTTGGTAAGTTTACAGCCATTTTTCATTTTTAGTGGCGCCTGATGAGCATCATTAAGCGTGACCGTAGCTAAGAGTCCACTTTCTCGAAGAAGCGAGAAAGGTGATGTATTTCGTTTGCGAATTTGGCCAATCTCGTACTCACAGTCTTCTGGCTTTTTGGTCAGCGGGACAACACCAGCAAAGACTCTGGAAAAATGGAATTTGCATTACCATAAAAAACTTGGTGATCCGGTTTTAGTGCGCTTCCTTCAGTTCAAAAAGCAAGTGAAAATGACAGTCCTCGAGAAAGCCTAAGTTTGTTTTTCATTCAGTTGTACACACGATGATTTGAGTGTCTCTGGGCCCTTTGGTTCAAACCTTTTGTTTTGTGTGCATTATTTTTGTCCACTTTTCTGTGCGCGGTGATTCAAAATGTTTATACTCTTATACTCTGATGTTTATAAATGTCATAAATTAATACTGTCCTTTTGATCAAGATGGCTTTAAATGAAGCGAAGAGAGAATGCAGATCGCGGACAAGAAGCAAGGTGAGAAACCAGGGTATTTCTGACGTGTAATTTCGTATGAAAGCGGGTATTTGCGATGACTGCGACTGTGGAAACATATTGACTGACGTCCTCTTTCAGGCCCAGCTGGCAAGGACGGTAACACAAGCTGGCACAAACAGCTGACTCAAAGGTATATGCTGGACAAAATACTTTTGAGGGGATCGTTCTGGTAGTTCCAGCCTTTCATCAAAACTGTCATTGACAGGGGTTCTCCGCCCATTCGTTGATGTTTATCCTTAGTTTACAAAAATACAAATTTAAACATTGCTGGCTTTAATTTTTCTTGTGCTTAATTTCACCTATTGCTTCCCACCTTAAAAAGCTCTTTTATTTTGCCTTAGTTTGAATGAAGTTCAACCCAAGGCAGGCAGCCTTAAGTCCCTTTTACTTCCCCCCATCATGTAAACTAGTCTTAGAGACTTTAGAATTTGTTTATCATAAAATGTTACTAACCTATATGAATTGTTTTGCTCTGTTATATTGACATTATTTTTTTGCTGCCCCTGAAGACAGACATTAAGGGACCCTTGCTATTTTTTACTTATTAAGGGCGCCTTTCTATTTTTTTCGCAACGAACCTGTCCACTATAAAAAATATGTGAATCATTGTTTTGGATGTACTTGTTTTCATCTGATATTTAACACCCCCCCCCCCACCTGTTTCATCCTGCTTCCTTCTCTTTGGCGCGCCCTTCCCTACTGATGTAAATACCTCCGTGAAACCAGTTAAAATCATTGTAATTATTCTCTACAGACTATGTGGGAAGAGTGAGAGAATATATTTTTTTAAGAGGCGGAGAGGTGGAAGCCGGGCGATGTATGGCAACATTGTAGTGGCTCCATTTGAAGGTGTGAGGGAGCCGATTTAGATTGGAGGTGCCAAATACCCTTTTAACCCCTGAAAGAAACAAATAGGGCCCTAGTCAATCTGTCTACTCTGCAACAAGTCAGTTGAGAACATGGAACATCTGAGTGGATTGCCATTTCCTGGTTTGTTGTGACAAAAGTGAAGCAGAACATATCGGACCGAGGACGAAGGAACCTGGTATAATAACAACAGATACTGCAAATCCTTTATGAAGTCTCCCCCGCTGTGGACTTATTTATTGAAGGCATGTTTGAGGGGGGGCGGGGGGGGGGCTTAATTAATACAGGGAAGGGTGGTATCAATGCTTCATAAGTACAGCCGAACCTCCACGTGCGACCACCTTCAATAAGCGACCACCTTCCCAAAACGTGACAAATATTCTCAGTCAAAGCCTTATACTGGAACCTCTCATAAACGGCTACCTCCCGTAAGCGACCGCGACCACTTTTTCGACAGACAGTTTTAGAATTGTATATTATTTTCAATCTCCGGAAAGCGACCACCTGACACATGGTCTTACTAAATAGTGAAGTACATTGTAAAAATGGACAAAAATGAATTTATTCTTTGGCTCTCATTATTGCCACATCTATTACAGGGTGTTATTTTTTCGATCTATAACTACAATATTAACCATTACCCTTGAGAAAGAGACTCAGATTTCCAGGTTTCAGTTCAAGAAGTTAACTTTTTGTTCTTTAGACGTTTTAGAGACATTTCTGTCCAAGACGTCGTACATGTCAAGCAAAATTTTTTAACCAAAAATTTATCACGCGCGTTATCTAATTATAAGAGCACTTTCGTAAATGAACTGTCACATAGAATAACAAACGATTTTGTCTATAAAACTACCAGTAATTGGCAGGGGAAAGTAAACTTTCATTATTTTTTTAGAATAAGTATACCATTCTATTCTAGTTTGACTTAAAAATTTCGCCCTTGTAGTCCGACTCTCGTAAGCGACCACCAAGCCTTTGCATTTTGGGTGGTCGCTTACGGGAGGTTCGACTGTATTAGAGCACAAAGTGGAAAAGCTCAGGTACACGGCCTGCAGTCAAAGATGAAAAACAAATGTAAACTTCCAGCACGTGAATAAACCATACTGGATAAGTCCACATGCCGCATGAAGTGTTGCAGTAGTGATTGATTAATACAGTCTGTTCTTTAAGGACGAGGGAGGAGGAGAGGGAGAGTTTAAACAAGAGGGGTTTAATCACCTTCTCCTGAAAAAAAAAGGCGGGGGGAGGATGTAATCGAGAAAGGCGGCTTTGTAGATTATTTAAGGTATTTAACAAAGTTTGAACCATTAGACAGCAAGTTTTTGTTTAAATTTTTGCCTGATGCCGAAAATCCCTGAGAAGCTAGAGGGTGACCCGAGGGTGACCCCTGAAATATCCTTTGTGTAAGAGTGCTTTTAATGCTCTTGTAGTCTCTAGACTGCTGTCAGCTGACATCAAGTGAATATGTTCAACCAGTATGTAACTGGAAAGCCAAAGCAAGTTGTGGAACATTATCTTCTGATTGGGAAAGAAGATGCTTATCAGAGAGCCAGGTCTGTATTGCAGGAAAGGTATGGAAACTGTAATGTTTTGATTACAGTATTTATTAACTAGTTGGAGAAGTGGCCTAAGATAGGACCCAGGATGCCAGTGCCTTTCGGGAGTTCTCAGATATGTTAGATAAGGTCTTGGCAGCCAAGAACAACATCCTAGGACTTTCTGTACTGGACTATACAAAGGGGATTGTAAAGTTATCATCCAAATTACCCTACTACATTGATAACAAGTGGAAAGATGCAATTAAATAATGTAGGCAAACCCATGGTGAAGCCAGTTACCCTACCTTTCTTAAGTCTGCGGATTTCCTCAGAGAAGCAGCAGAGAAGGCAAACATTCCACAGTTAGAAGGCCTCTTCACGTCCACCAGTCCAAGATTTAACAGAAAACCGAAGCCGAAACCAGAGAACGAGAAGGGAAGGTAAGAGTGGTGTTTGACTGTTCGGCCCAGTTTAACGGAGTCAGCCTCAATGACTAGTTGCTGACTTTGTGAACGATCTGTTGGGTATGTTTGGTTGTTTTCGCAAGGAAGACGTTGTATTAATGACGGACATCAAAAGCATGCTCCATCAGTTGGTGGTTGCTGAAGAACACAGAGACCTGTTACGTTTTCTTTGGCGGTTTGATGGGCATCCATCGAAGGAAGTAATCGATTATCGTATGTAGGTTCACTTGTTTGGTGTCAGCAGTTTCCCACGTTGAGCGAACTTTGGGCTTAGGCGAGCAGTTGACGATAGTGAGGAAGATTTCGGTACAGATGCTGTACCGGAATTCTACGTAGATGATGGACTAAACTCTGTATCAACGGTACCCGAATCCATCCAGTTAATCAAGGCCAGTCAAGCAATTTATAGCAAGGTTGTCTCAGATTACATAAAATAGTCTCCAACAAGAAAGAAGTTCTCGAAGCCTTCCCAGTTGATGACCACTCAAAGGAAATTTAAGAACTAAACTTAGCTAGGTGTGATGTGGTGCGCGGAAAGTGACAGTTTCCGGTTCCGGATTGAACTTCATGATCGCCCTTTAACTCGAAGAGGTGTATTGTCCACTATTGGCCCAATCTTGATCCTAATGGGAACCTGGCCCCTGTTACACTCTTCTTCAGCACATGTACAAAGACAATTTGGATAGGGAAAGCCCCGTTCCAGAATACCTACACCCACAGTGGGAAAAGTGGCGGCGAGAAATTGTGTAGTTGGAGAAACTGGAGATTCAGCGATGTTCAAGCTAGACAACTTTGGCCAGGTGAAAGCAGTGGAGGTCCACTATTTTCAGACCTCGTCTGGAATTTAGATTCAGGTTATTCCACATGCGGCTCGTCTCCTTTCAACGTTGCACTGTTTTAAAGTGAAATATCTTAAAACAGGGCTTTGAATTAAGGTGCTCTTAACATTGCTAGTATTTCCGGCCATAGCGAGGAATTGTGGGTTTACGTAGTGCACTTGTTAAGTTATTAAAGCGTGTACTTTGGTACAAGATATGACAAGAAAACGGCTGTCAAGTTTAGACATCTGCCTACATTCCTTGTTACGTTTTGGTTAAACAGAACTAATCATAAACTGCAGTTCCTTATCACAGAAGTGATCACAATCTAGTCTTCAGTAATTGCTGTTTAGCTTCCCTTGATGATATCGTTTTCAACATGGCCCATCTTTGCGTTCTGTACAAAGAACGATGGGTTCTAAATCGCTTTGACCGCAAAAATAGTGTAATCGAAATGCTTTCAACCCTGAAATGGAAGACACTAGAAAGTAGGCGAACCATTAGCATGCCTAATTACGCTGCATAAAAGAGGATACAGGCTAGTCCCTCACGAACATGCCAAACTACAATCCGCTGGCCATTCGTACTGAAGTTAGGGATTACTACAAGTATTCCTTCTATACAAGGACGATTACAGAATTGAATAAGCTCCCAAGGGATATAGCATTGTCCAACTCACTGGCTGCTTTTAAATATGCATTTTCAAACATTTATTAACACTTTCATTTCTCTGCGCTCATAAGCGCTATTTCAGTCACTTTTTTTAGAGCGGTCTAAAATGCTCAGAATTGAGTGATAGACCTAAATAGTAAATGTAAATGTAACATCAACCCTCATTTGGGTAAGATTTCTTTACAGCCCCATAAATTTAATATGCATGCATATTTTGACTCTATTCATTTCAACTATTTGTCAGAAATGGTATGAAATTTCTGAATGCATAATAAATGTATGGGACTGTGCGGAAATCTTACCCTCCTTTTTCCAGTCTGAGGTACTGAGGTGGATTTGAGTTGGCTGTAACCATCTCCAAAAGGAGCGTGGATCTTGACCTGATATGTGGACTGAATAACAGTGATGGATAAGTCAATCAAAAATCTAGAATTGCAATATCCAATGATTCAGTTTTTAACAACGGTTGACATCATATTCGGGAAGCAGAATGTAATGTAACACACACCATGGCGTCCGTTGGATCCACCATAGGTAGTAGTCCTCTAGGGATGCTTTCAAGGCACTTACATGATGTAGAGGAACGCAATTTTTCTAAAGCAAATTGCTTTAGAACATATGAAAATTAGGCAAACTAGTAAGCAGGAAGGTAACTGAATGAGCACTTGGTAGGCACTTTCTAGGCTTCAATCGGGAGTGAATCGTCCCTAAATGACTACTATCAGCATCACCTAACAACCCCTCATCTTTAGCTCTTCCATCTTGCGCACTCAAGCAGTACGGTCTGCCGTAAAAACTACCTAACAAGTTTACCCAAGCACCACCCCAGCATTTTTGACGACAAAACTAGACATTTGCGCACATGGTAATTTGTTTATTCTTTAATGGTTTAAAAAATCCTGAAATATCATAACACCCATATATAAGCATGAACTTTAATATGAATAAGACGGCGTTTCTCGTAGTAGCATTTTTAGTGGAATTTTCGTCCGTTCAGGATATAATACTTTACCAGGTATTTTTGCACTAAGCAATACGAAATACATGTAAGGAAATGAAGTGGTCTGTCTTTATTTTATACTGCATCCAGAGCTCCATGTATTGAGCCAAGAGAGCGACCTCCGTAGTAGGTCTATTTTGGTTACTTGAAACTACGCGAGATGTGTTAATCTGATTCGGAATAAGACTTGGCACGTGAGCAAAAAACATTAGATTGGGGATTATGAACCAGGCTCTTAGGCTGCAGTGTCTTCCTCCCTCGAGGGGAGAACATACCTGTAGATAATCCTGGGAAGTAGGTTATTACATCAACTGATCACGATTAAAATGCTTTTTTTTTTTAAATTGAGACAGCCTCACGAATCATAATTCCAGCGCCAATCCCTCTTAAGAGAGCGCGTTTAATTTGTTGACATTATCTTTTTTAAGCTCTCTGATATTGTTAGAAGGTGACTGAGACCTTTTTCCTCCGATTGGGTTTTTAATAAAGCCGTCGATTTGATGTTGGCTACTGTTGTTTTCTTCATCAGCGAGATGCCGACTTTGGTTGTTACTTTGATAGGTGAGATTTTCCCTTCCGATGGGTCTATTTTGACCCATGAGACGTCGCCTTTCGATGTCATCAGTGCAACGTTTGCGGAATAATACTACGGCAAACACACACAGAGAAACTGCAAGAACACCTCCCAAAACACCAATAATAACAGTTTTTTTTTTTTTTTTATTTTTTATTATTTTTTATTTTTTTTTATTATTTTTTTTTATTTGCTTTACTTAACCCAATAATTACAATATTGAAAACTGCTTACATTGCTTACATATTTACAACGTTCATACCATACTTACAATACTGACAATACTTATTGCTTACATTGCTAACAATACTACTGTTTTCAAACATTATTACATTTCGTATGCTTCAAGTACACAGTTGCATCGGAAGAAACTTATTTAAGGATAGTTGGCGTTATTGAGGCAGGATAAGCTACGGATGAAAGACATAGAGAATATCAGGGGGCGTTGGGAATAGCGCCATGGTAGAAACGATAGTTTCTACGTGATGTCGTGTAGGAATGACCATTGTTTGGGCAGAACATTGTTTGCTTCTGCTTGTGCTTGTATGTTGTAAATTGTCTTTAGGTGTTTGAGAAATCCTTGCAATAGAGGTATAGCTTCTTTTGTTTTGCAGAGCCAGATATAGTGCCTGGCAATAAGAAAACAAAAGTTGATCTGGCGTTGAAGTTTAGAAGAGTCTGATCTCAGGCCTAGTGAAACAGTCATGTCTGCAGAGTAACTATCGGGAATAATTTGGCAAAGTTTTAATCGCGTTATGATGCTCTCCCAGAAGAGCGCCGTTTTGGGGCAGGACCAGAAAAGGTGTACGAGTTTTTCTGGTTCTTTTTTACAAAAGGAGCAGTTGGAGTTTTCTTTTACTCTTATCTTAGTTAAGAAAGCGTTTGTTGGTATTCTTCTGTGCAGCAATTTAAATTGAAATTCCCTGAGTTTTATGCTTTTTGTGATTTTATGAGCTAGCTGGTAGGTCGCACCCCACGTTATTTCGTTTTGACCTAAGTTGCAGTCTTGATTCCATTTTTGCTGGCTTGTAGTAGGGGGGGCACTTTTCTTTGTAATTAATTTGTCATACACCAACTTGCTTGCTTTTTGGGCTTTCATTAGTTTTGTCGAAAAGCTTTCGTAACTATTACCTTCGTTTGTGTGGTCACCTTGGTTGAATGTGTTGCATAGCTTTTTAAGAGCAGAAATTATTCCACAGTATGCCAAGGGTTGGACCTTGATGTCGTATTTGTTTAAAAGTTCTGGTGGAGTGAGGAATTTTCCTTCTCTGTTCCTTAAGTGCTTAACTTTTGTGATGCCTTTACGATACCATTCTTTAAAGAAAATAGGGCTGTCGTTAATCCTTACAAGTGAGTTGTACCATATGCCTTGTTCTGAAAGCTGGCTCTCTGATGTTATCCTCTCTTCAAAATTGATTTCTGACCAGATTAGGAGAATTTCCTTTAAGAAACTGTCTTGCGTTTTGAAGATATTAGCTATGTCTATCTTATTAAGGTTGCTTGTGAACGGTAGGGTACACTCAAACTTTTTCAGTTCAAGATCTAGAAAAAGTTTCCATTTACCCTGATTATCTGTATCCAGGTACTTTTTTATCCAAGTGGTTTTTAGCGCTTTATTGAAAGATAGTATGTCAATCATTTTGAGGCCACCTGCTGGGTAATTGTTAATCATAATATCTCGCTTTATTTTATCGCCCTTTCCGTTCCAAAGGAACAAGTAAAAGAGCTTGTTAATCTCGCTAATTATTTTTTTGTTTGTGCACAAGGGTGCCAAGACGTACACAATTTGAGAAGCTACTAAGCTTTTCAGAACAGTGATCTTCCCACTTAAGGTTAATCTACGGTATTTCCAGTTGCTTAGAATATTGTTAATTTTTTCCAGTTTTTCCTTATAATTTAGAAGTACAGTGTTTTCAGGGTCTGTCGTAAACCAAACGCCTAAAGATTTTACTTTGTTTGTTTGCCATCTGAAATTTCTTTCTGGAAGAAGAATTTCTGTTTTTCCACTATATGTTCCGATCCAAATTGCTTCTGTTTTTTTACTGTTGAGTTTGAGACCCGAGGCTTCTCCAAAATCGTCAAGTGTGTTGAGAGCAGCTGAGAGCGACGTTTGTGAACCATTCAATATTAAGGTTGTATCGTCTGCGTATTGACTTATTTTAATTTCCTCTTGGTTAACGTGTATTCCTCTGATATTGCTGTTTCTTTTAAAAGCCTTGGCTAAGACTTCGACTGAAAGAACAAATAGATATGGAGACAACGGGCACCCCTGCCTGACCCCTCTTTCAATTTTAAAGAAATTGCTTGTCCAGCCGTTGTTTAAGAAGCAGCTCTCTATGTTGCTGTAAAGGCATTTGACCCAGTTTACAACACTTGGGCCGAAACCGAAGTATTGAAGAGAATTTATGATAAAAGGCCATTCAATCGTGTCAAACGCCTTTTCGAAATCAAGAAATAATAATAGCCCTGGGATATTTTTTTCTTTGGTAAAACGAATAACATAGTCTATTAATCGTATGTTCTCGCCAATAAACCTGCCTTTCATAAAGCCAGTTTGATCACAGCTGATGAGATCGGGAAGAACCTTTTTCAGCCTGTTAGCCACAGCCTTTGCTGCAATTTTGTAGTCGCAGTTGAGAAGAGTAAGCGGTCTCCAGTTTTTAATGAAATACGGCTCAGCGTCTTTCTTGGGAATGAGTTTGATTACTCCTCTTCTTTGTGTGATGGAAAGCTGACTCGTTTCGTGCGCATAATTAAGAGCATTAATCAATAAGTTTGATATGTTTGTCCAAAATACTCTATAAAATTCTGAAGGTAGCCCATCAGATCCAGGGGTT